GTTCAGACGTGTGCTCTTCCGATCTACTATTAAAAAAGTCAATATAAAGTCATTCTTTAGTCATTTGAAATCTAGATTTTAATCATAATGTAAAAAATGACGTAAATTCGGTCAATTTGACGTCAAATTGATATTATTTTGACTTTTCTGTTCTCCTTGGGGAATGACGTTCCCTCGAGTATTGCGGAACGTAAAAAGACTTCTTGTAAGCATTTCTCTTGTGAATAGAAAACGTGTTAATTGTATATCAAATGTAAATAGAATCTTCTAACATTACTTGAGATAGAAACTTGTATTTAAAAACAGAATAAAGATAACAGCTGCTATTGTAAAAAAAATGATGATTAATTATTGCAATATCCTTCTGAAAAAATAGTATTTCATTACTCTTTTTATGAATAGAATCGTTATAAAAATATTACACTTATTATTACAATAATTAAACAGTCATTTTCTTTTTATAGCAACGACATTTAGATGAGGTGGTGCGATAGTGAAGCCGTCGACACCGTCTAAAATGGGCTCGGGATGTTCGGGAGGTAATACGAACTGAAATTTCTGAAGTAGACACGCGGTAAACAGGAACACGCTGTTTCTCGCCAAGATCTCGCCCAGGCACTTTCTATGACCTGTTAAATCGTCAATATTACTATCTTCAGCTCTGTTAGAAGTATTTATATATTTTTCTTTACCTAAGCCGAACGGTATTAACCAGGGATCCTCGACATACTCTCCTCTGTCATTAATAAATCTCTCAGGTCGAAACTCCTTCGGATCGCCCCAATGCTGCTCGTCCATGTGCACGCTTCGTAAATTAGCCAGCAAGGTGTAATTCTTTTTTATCTCGTAGCCCAGTAGAACGGAATCAGTCATCGCCCGATGAGGAATTGAAGTAGGACCGACGTTCGCCAGTCTCATCACTTCCGCTATCGTCGCGTTCAAGTACGGCAATCTGAAAATTTTTTCAATCGTACATCTGCGCAATAGTTCGTTAACGAAATAATATTAATAGTGGCAAGCGAAATTTTTAAGTTCGATTATACCGATTTTTGTACACTACGCGAGGTAGGATTTCCTTGCCGAGCACTTTGTCGATTTCCTCGTGTACTTTTCTTTGCACATCCTGCCTCACCACGAGATACGTTATTATAAAGCCAATCGTGTTGTTTGTTGTTTCTACCCCAGCGCTAAAGAGGTCTTTCACAACGCCAATTAATTGCTCTTCTGGAAACCAAAAATAATATTTCTGCAATTATTTTCATGAAAATTAAATACATAATCTAGTATTAAGGATTGAAATAAAATATTAAAAAATATGTTCTCTCGTTTCTTTTTGTACTGTTTTTTTTTGTGTTACGCTATTTTTTATAAATTATGAAATGTACAGTCGTGGACACATAGGTTGCGACACTTTTTTTTATAGGTTTCTAATATATATTTAATATACATAATATATTAATATATATTTTATAAATAACTAATATTTTGCAAATGCGAACCACGATGTACTATATTTAGAGACAGTATAACACCAATCATGCTCCGCATTTGCAAAATATTAGTGCGTTTTGAAACTTATAAAAAAGAGTGTCGCAACCGATGTGTCCATGTACATACATCTAATAATCTCTAATATAAAAATCTAATAACGATTGATAAATGTAATATAGAAAAAATGTAATATATTTAAATTGTGTGTTTTCATCATACGTAAGAAAATTTCTCATTTATGTAATTATGTACATTGTGAAGCATTGTGTACCGTCAAAAGACGATACGGTTGGGCTTGATTGTATGGTGTCCATTTCCGCTAGATAAACATCGATAAAGTCTCTGAACTCGCCGTGCGTTCTAGTTTGCTTGTGCCTTGCTATTTCGGTCTGAAAGAGGATATTTTATTCCGTCTGTAAAGATATCACATTTCTGTCTATAGATAGAAATTATGCCGCTAATGGGCGAGCATTGCATTACCCCGATGAATTGCCACATTCGTGTCAATCTTTGATTTAGTGCGGTAAATCCGGTTAGCCCTGGAATGATATATCTTAAAAATGGCAAGTGGGTTAATATACCACCAGTGGCGTTGGTATTTCTGATAATCTCGTTTACCACTGATAAAATCTCTGCTAATTTTGGATTCTCCAAATCAAATCTACGACAATATATATCCTGATGTTATTTTCGACTATGTATATAGTTAATTGCCTTCAATTTACAATAAGCTTTACAGCGTACCTGGCTCCAGCGACTAATGTCCACAAACTATTCAGAACAGCTATGGAAGTAATATTGTACAAATTGGTAATGGGTCCCAATTTAGCCAGCGATTCTACCATACTCGTTAAGGAAACCGCGTCGTTTAATATTATGTCCTCCATCGTAACATTTCCGAATCCAAATTCCTTCAACGTTCTCAGAACAAACCTATGTAATTTGTAATAAGTCATAATCTGACCTGATTCTTCTTTGAAAGCAAAGAAAATAATCTAACAGTAATACTTCAAAGATTTAATCCGAAAAATTTTTGTTGAAAATATCGGGAAATTGTTAAAGAAGAGTTACTGATCCGTATGAAGAAAAGTATGATCCGCACATACAAGAATATAACAATTATTTAAAACAAATTACTGAACATGAAATTATTTAAATTATTTAACATAAAGTTTTTTCGTTAATTTATATTTATCAACACCCTTCAGAAATACCTTCTTTGATCTCGCCAGATATCGCCATCGGTGAATAGCACACCTCTCCGTTTACCTCCCGTTCGAAGTCTATGCACAAATTCATTAGGTCTGCCGTCAAACTGAGATCGACTCATCATTTCGATCACCGCATCCTTACCGGAAACAATGATGAGCGGTTCGGCTACACCGAGTTTCAAGCCAACAATAGGTCCGTAAATGTCGGCTAACCGACACCAGGCGTGAGAATAAAACTTCGTCTCGTCGACCAGACGTTTCAGGTCGAATATGTTTCCTATGATTGGCAGACCGCGGGGACCTTGAATAGAATATTTTGCAAATGTCTTATATATTCACGTAAGTTGCGCGACAAAATAGAATATTAACAGTGAAAAGTGTACGTGCTTTTGAAAAATGCTTTTTGAAGGAAAAGCATAAAATAAAAGTATCATTTGTAATAACTGGATTATTAATATTTGGCCTACATTTTTCACAGGATAAATATTAATACTATAGTTATTTCTATAAAAAAATTACTTTGTCTTACAATTGATTATTACTTTTATAAAATATACCGTATATGTGTGAGAATTATTACGAATTATAAATATAGCAATAGAAGCAATATGTAAAAAAGTAACACAAATGTTTTTTGGAATTATCGTATAAATAATTTTTTAATAAGTCTGATTTATTAAAAATATGTTTGCGATAAAATATATTGTATTTTACCTGGAGGAAATGTTGATGGTCGACGCCAGTCGTGTAGAATCTTCATCGTGATTATTATCGCCATGCAAATAATTATGAACCACATTATTTATTTGTTATTTAATAGCGGTAAAAATATTATAGAAATAATAACGTAAGAATATCAAAAGAAATTTGCGAAACAAATTGATGGCGTTACCGCAAATCAATTTCACTTATGTCAATAAATAAGGTAATTATAACTGTACGATATTTTATTGAACTTTCTACGTAATTTACTGATCGGCTATATTTCGCCGATCAAATTGTCATTCGCGGCAGGCGACACTAATCGAAACTGCACCAGCCTCGTGGAAATTCTGTTATATGGGAGAAATACCTCCTTTCACCGGTATATTAGGCAAGAGGATTTTGGCTCAAGGTTCCAACCGTGCACGATGATATATCTTTACTACATGCTACTGCAGGCATGCACACGACAGTCTAACTCCTACTGGACCTCACATTAAGTTTCACATTTTACCGCAAAATGTTTTGCGACAGCTATGATACATCGAAACACGTTTTCCAATAGGACGTTGTGCAACATCCTTTGAACGAACGCATTAACATTTCATTGGCTAATGTCTCTATGCTGTTTTGGCAAACGGAAATGAGTAATTAGAATTCATTATGAGTGACTTGTGTTTATTGTAATCTAAAAGGAGAGAATTGTATATATTAATTATTGTGCGCTGATACGAAGGCAATTAGAGATATGACAAAATGATTTAAGTCGTTATATAAAATCGCAGTTACCTGCGAGTTTCTCAGAGAGGCGAGCTAGAATGCGGCGAAATACGATGTTGGGTCATTGCTATAATATCGACGATTATGGCGGCGCGAGGTAATCACAGAAGTTATAAGCGGCACATGTGTGGGAATCGTAAATTCCAATCAATCGCGGGGACATCAAAGCGCACGCTATCCCCGTTCTCCATTTCGGCGTTCGTGGATCCGGTTAATACCTTGCGCAATAGCGTTTACGATTTCGCGCGCTCGCACGCGATTCCACACACTCCCCTTTCCTCTTCTATTCACCGAGCTCACGCCGGCCACGCCGACAACCGTCCGTCTTCCTCCGGCACTCTTCCGCCTGGCACGCAACGTCAAATCAAAACGAGAGCGATCGAGCCGGCCGCTCGGCGTAATAACGATCGCCGCGAGCCACTTAAAATCGTCGAGTTAATCCGATCGCAATTATCCAATTGAATTGCCGAATCGTTTACAGTACGCAGGTTATTGACACTATTATAAACATTATTAATAAACTATATCATGGTGCAACAGTGCAACGTTCATTGGCGTTTATCAAATGAAAATAATTAGATCAGGTATAAGTACAAAGATTTACAAAATGTTGATCATTTCTTGTATTTATAATATTGCCACAGGAAAAATTTAAAAATAAAAGAAAAATTTTTAACTTTTATATCTATATATATTAAAATTAGGAGACTATTTTTTATACGTTTCTTTTTTTTCGTAAGTATAACTTTAAATAAGAGCATTTTTAATGTAAAATAAATAATTAAAAAAAAAAACTAATCAAGTTCACCATTATCTGGTGAAAAACTAATCAAGTTTCACCATTATCTGGTGAAGCATACCTGGCTTTCCTCGCAGAAGAACTTCCGCTGCAAGGTGAAACGATGTTGTAAAGTCGGAAACGACTGCCATCAGCGATTCTGGGGACCAGAGATCATCAGCATCCGTGCGTGATGGTCCGTAAATTATTGCATCTTGGCGTCAGTAGCGATAAAACTATCAGCGAGGAGACAAAGGAACATATAAAGCGAGCCTTACTTCTCTCCGGTGCACAATAGATGAAGCTGTGTAACATATAGGTAACGAGCGATCGTCCGCCAATTAATCATAGCAACATAAGGAGAGAGAGAAAAAAGAAGGAATACACGTTAATTGTCATTGAAAAAAAAACCGGTTCTTAATTTTTTCACGTGTGCTTATTTGCCGAGACATTTATATTGGAGAGATATAATCTGCTCCTTGTTAAAAGCATGAGAATGCTTCTGCAATAAAAAATTATGAACATTTTATTAGAGAATGTTTAAGAGTCTATCTAAGAGATAGAATGTCATACAATTTTTTATAATTACATTCTGAAACAAAATGGCATAAATAAAAATTAATTAAAAAAATTTTGGTATTTTTAAATCACAAGAGTAATATGAATATATATTTAAGTAAGCTATCAAATGCAATTATATAAGATAAAGAAAAACGTGTAAGCCTTCTTTTTGAGCGTGAACCTACATTATCATAATCCAAGGACGCGGGACAACTGCAGTTTATTAAACTTTTAAATGCGATCAGCGAAATGTTCTTGACATAGAGAATAAAGCTGAACAAAGCGACAGGGCTTTATCGTGCATAACGAAAAATTCAAATTAAATGTTTCACGATCAATTATCGATTGCCTGTTAAATTGAAATGAATACAGCCAGAGAGTAGAATCTTTTAATAAGTCCAAGGAAATCGGAATTGGTCTTCCAAGACGCCAAGAAATTTCTAAATTTAACTTTTGATAATAGTTGCATTTAAATATCAAAAAATTTAGTAGTAGCGCAAAAAATTTCAGACATTTACTTAAGGTACTATTGACTATAGACAGGAAGTTCAAAAATGGCAAGTAACGTTTTATCCAAGACTAATTGTTCGACAATTGTTAACCGATCGTATTGTGTCGAATTAACTTGAACGAAATACTCGTCGCTTGGGCATGTAAAGCTGTTGACGACATAATTATTCCGACGATGGCAAACGATTTTTGTTTGGAACGCGTAGGCAGGTGAGATATCGACTGATTAATTCATCATTGGAATGATAAGGAAAACCGAGGAGGAAATATTAGGGAAATTAAGACGCAGAACAGGGAGGCGAGATGTTGCTGCTGCTGCTGATAACAGGCCCGGAAAATCGTGATGCTTGATTCGAGGGGGCTCTTAAAAAGGAGCGGGGTTGGAGGGATTTGATGATAGGTGGGGGCGGTGTTTCGCATTTACCGAAGGTGCTAGGTCCAGTTGAGTGCCAACTCGACTGGATAAGAGCGGACTTCGACATCGGACGGGTGCTACCGTCAGCGTGCTATCATCATTTGTCGTGGTCAGTACCAATGACAAACAGCGGCTCGATTTTTTCTGGAAATATGATTCAGTTGTTGGGTGATCGCTTCTTAATTAGAAGTTAAATATTCTAAGCTAAGATATCTTGACACTGTGTCAAGGTAGATTAGTATACAAATAGTGAAGGATTAGGAATTCTGTTGATAAGACTAGGAGTTCTGATCTGGTCCCTGTTGAATGTAGGTTTGCCGTCCGCGAAGTAAAAAAGAAAATCTGGAATAAACGAAAAAGTGACACTTTGGCGGCGATGCTGGTTCGCGCGCCTTACAGTTTCCTCTTCATTCTTACGGTAAGTCACTTTCTTTTACTCTGTTTAATCGCATTATTTAAAAGCTAGTATAAGATTGAATTTAGAAAAGAATACTTTTTTCTTACTTTACAAAAATATAGTTATGAAATATTTTTATTTAGTTTGAAAAAATTAGCAATACTAAACACAAAAATAATAATTTTTACACAATATTTGAATTACATATAATTTCTCTTATGTATAATATATAAAAGGAAAAGACATTAAAACAAAAAATAATAATAAGTATTATTAAAATAAAATAAATAATAAAAAGTATTATTAAAAAATATATAAAAAGAATAAAATGTATTTTCAATCAAGAATATTATGTGCCTAACGGATTTCTCTTTTTATTTCGTCAACTTAATTATTGTATGTGTATTGTAGCTAGTTATATTTCTTTCGCTTTAATGCTATAAATATATCAAAATTTGATAGCTAAAACTTGTTAATCTCAGTGAAATATTGCCATTTTTATCGTGTCGTAACTTATATTTTATTCCTTGACTATTCTCACTTTCGTGCCGACGCATTGTGCAGTTGTTTCGCTGGTTAATCTCGCGTGCCGAGATATCGTCGAGCCTGCATGGTTTGATCGGGGATCAATTGTGAAACCGACATTTTCTAAATTAAATCGTATATACATAATCGCCGCCAGGCGATATCGAACATCTTCATGAAACTTTCCCATGTATCTCTGGAAAACTACTTATTGGCTTGTATTACAATACGTATTACTTTCAATTTACGCATATTATTAACATTGAAGGACATTTATTTGGATAATGTTATCAGTGATAATTTTCATCGATATAATATTACATTTGTTTGATTAAAACAGATCTGCTGTTGGTTGAGATATAATGCTGCGATTCCACTTGTCCCTCATTCAAATCCAGTACGTGTAATACATATTTTTACGTTTATATTTATTATATTAAAATACATATTTTATGTTTGTATTTATAAGTGTATGTGTTGTATGTGTGTTTGTGTATTGCATATACACTTTAATATAAATTTAATATATGATAAATTTATCCTTTACTTTATGCTAATATTTCTTCTTTAATTTATCTTTATTGTTATAGTTTTGGAATTTTTTTTAGAAACGATTTTTACATTTTTGAATGTTTTTAAAAATCTTTCTTACTGAATTATTTGGAATATCTTATGCCATAAAACTTTTGTTAAATTTTTTTCTTTTCAGATCAATTTTGAAGAATGTCTCCAAGACATTTTTATATTCTTGTAATTTAATTTATTTATGCTTTCCATTTTTTTAAGTAATTTAGATAATCACAGCAGTTTTGACATATTATATCGTTTATCATGATTACCACTTTCATTAAAACGACCATTAAAACAATTCTTCAGATATTTCTTCATCAATCTTGCTTCATGCAATTACAACGCTTTGATTTAGATTCAATGACCTAACGTAAGTGGATTTTATAGATAAATTCTAATTATTTCTTTCTCTGGGGATTATTGATAATTTCGTGTGTTTATGTAAATGTCTGTTATGTTAAACACAAAAATTTGTACGTGCTCTTATATTTAAACTATTTTCTTCAAATCTGTTCATGTTAAACACAAAAATTTGTACGTGCTTTTATATTTAAACTATTTTCTTCAAATCCGTTCAAACTTGTCAATTTTTCTTTGACACTTGTTTAATTCTTCAGATGCAAGATGCATTCAAAGAGAAAAAAACAGTTTCTCAAATTGCTTTGGGTGGTACTACTTTAAATTCTCGTTCGAGAAAGGCGACATTAGATGTCACATCAGACGAGACAAGATCAGATGTGACATCAGACGAGAAAAATGATGAAAATGACGAAGATGACGAAATTCAAAAGTAATGTATAATTAACATATTTCCATCTAGTAAAGTACAAAATATATAACTCGCAATAGTATTAAAAATAACAAAAACTAAAACATCCAAAGATTTACTCCATTAACTTAAGATATATTGCGATGTCTGTTGTTATTGTTAACTATTTGATCTTCTATTTTTTCTGCACAGCAATATAAATCGGAATGTAAATGTAAATATGAATGTCTTTCATCGCGGTAAGCGTCATCGTATCGGGCACAATCGCGATAAGCATAAGCGCCATAAGCAAAGCACGACGGAAAATATCATGACGGTCGTAGAACAAGAAAAAGGTCACAGATTATTGGAAGAAATAGCCAAGGAAAAAATATCGACGAATTGTGCGAGTAGTAACAAGAAGAATCAGAGGTACTCGAGTAGCTTCCTCGAGAATACAACAGACAGCACGCTAACCGTGGAAAAGGAGTTTCACGATGTGGTTGGTAACAATTCTAAGGTAAAAAGATCTGGCAGCGTTCACGAGGGCGAGGACATCACTCTGTGCTGGATTGAAACGACGACTATCAAGGAGGACAAGGCCATTCAACCGCCGAAGAGACTGGTTATTCGTGAGTACACAATTTCCTTTGAGAACTCGGCAACCATACCGGAAAGATATCTCGAATGCAAAAGGTTCGAGGGCGAGCTGACGGCGGACGATCCCGACATCGGCAAAACGGCTCTGTTCGAGATCATAGACGAAGACACGATGGTCAGCAGAATCGTCAATTTCACCTCGGTCAGTCACGTTGGTAATGTCATCACCTGGCAGCACAAAAAAGTGAAATGTGGAGTCGGGCCGGTAGTTAGTAAGAATATCGTAGAACTGAATGACGGCTCGAAAAATCCGAAGAAGAGAGTGGAGATTAAAGTTAGTCCCAAAATGCATCAACTGACGGCAACGACAACGGAGGAAGAACCCTGCACGGAAACTTCCGAGAAAATCGATGAGAGTAGCACACTCACGGAAACTATTACTGAACACACTACCGGATTATCCTGCGAAAATACGGAGAGTGGCGCTTGCGAAGCAACCATGACCTTACCTAGTAGTTTATTAAAAAACGAATATAAATTCAGCACAACTGAAGGAGAAATAATTGAAGAGGAAACAACTAAAAAAACAGTTACCGAGTTGCAGCACAGATCCGAAAGCGAGAGCGAAGAAGATCGTTTATTCACAGATTCGAAATTATTAACGCCACTTGGTGAAGTGGAAGTGAAAGACTCGGACTCCAGAAGATCAACAACCCTTCCCAAAATACTGACTACGATTGAAGAAAGTGAGGAGAAAAACATAGATTGCGAAGAGAATTCGTCAGATCCAGCGTGTTTAATGCAAATATATAGTACACCCTCTTCGAAAGAATTATTTCCTGAATTAGTAGTTACAACGGAAACAACTACGATATCCGAGACAATTAGTAGTAGAGAAGTAACTACGAGAGAAGTGACATTTTACCCTTCTGTCGAGAAGAAATTAGACGAGATGACGCAATCTTCATCGAGAGAAGAGAAAGAAACTTCTGAGTTAGTAATCGAAGAGACGACTCCATTTGCACCTATTTCCATGGAATCATCGGAAGCGCCTCAATCAACGGATCAAGCATTTATCGATACTAGTTCATTGGAAACAGAGATCATGACAAGCACGTCGGAAGAATCGAAGCTCAAAGAGGGCAGTGGTGAAGGTACTGAATGGATAAGCGAAGAGTTAGAAAAAATTGACCATGTTTCATCGGCGAGCATAGAGACAGTGACATCAGGTAAAGATGAAATTGGGACAGATGTTATAACTGAAAGATCATCAATTGAATTTAGCGAGTTCGAGAAAACTGAAAAACGTGGTCAGATATTGGATAAGGTAACTCAACCCCCAATTTCGACTGAAAATATAACCGGAACTGTAATTATCGAGTCCGAATCCACGATGTCCGAAGAAGTGCCGTCCGAGGAAAGTAAAGAAACCACTGCAATTGAAGGGATGACGACGGTTGAGCTAAAGACTAGCGAGGAAGAAGAATTTATGTCGACGATAACGTCGCCAACGAAGATCATCAAATCAACGACCTTGTCATCGACGATAAGCGGCGAGGTAGGTTTATCGTGCGAGGAGTGCGCGGAAGGCTGCGACGAGTCCGGAAATTGTATTGAGACGATCACAAAGTGCGATTCGGAGGTATGTCCCGAGGAAGAGAGCACAGAGGCTCAATCAAAATTTGATATAACTTCTTCGCCAATACAGACGAAAGTTTCGCCATTCGTGACTGATTTAGAACCATCCGAGGAAGTAGAAACGATCGAAACAGCAACGACTACATTGACCTCTCGAGAGAGTGAGAGCATTTGGACGATTCCGGAGACTCGAAGAAGCACGACTATAAGTACACCACAGCACAAACTGACCTTGAAGGTCAAGGTCCTTCTGGAGCATATTAACGAGAACAAGGAGAAACACAACTTGGTCGAGGTGGAGAAACATTTATTGCTGGACGAGAATCCGGAACATCATATCAATCCTAATATACTTGAGCAATTGAAATCTTTGAACGATTCCGTCAATATGGAGACCATGAGCGCACTGCTAAATTGTACCAGCTTGAGTAACTTGACAAGAGGCGTGAGGTTCATCAGCAAAAAACCGAATGATGTTTTCGACGTTAATGACGCAGACTTGGAGTATACAAATTCTGAATTTGAGAATTCGATCTCGCAACAGTTCACTTCTGAATCTGCCGATGCTAGCAATGATTACTCCGAATATCAAGAGCAAGAGGTATCATCTCGAAGACGAAGACGAAGAAGTCTCGATGATAAAATGGAAGATCTAAATAAATTTGTTAAGCAAAATCTTTCCGATCCCACGGATTCTGTGGTTGATTCGTTTAATATTTCACAATCTAATCACACTGAGCTAATGAACGATGATATACAACTTTCCACAACGACCTTGAATTATTCTGAAGAGGAAATAAATGGTACAGAAAGTGAAAGAAACTTAACTAGAGAAGATCAAAGTACAATGCCTTCGACAACAGTGAGCATTAGCTACGATGTTGACCTTTCAAATACTTCGGAATCTCATGATGCTAATTTAACGATGGAAAACGTACAATTAACCACAACGACATATAATCCGACGACATATAATTTAACGACATATAATCCGACGACATATAAAGAGGAACTTTCCGAAGAGGAAACAAGTAGCGCTGTATATGTAGAAAGTGAAAAAAATATAACTAACGAAAAAAATGAAAGCGTAGTGCCATCGATAAGTGACATCAGTAATGAAACAAAAATGGAAGTCGTGCGAAGGACATTACCAGGAATACAGGAAGATGTAGTGGTCGGAATGCAGGATATGATATCGAAATTGACGGAAAATAATTTGAATCCGCTCAATAAAGTTAAAGAAGCCATCAAAACAAACATTTTGGGTATTTTAACCCCCAGAGATGCTCACTTGAGGAGAAGAAGAGCGGCCACGGGAGAGGTGGGACACTGGTCGAACGAAAGGATCAAGGAGGCGCCGATGGGTGGCAATCTTAGAAGTCTCACTGAATTCACACTGTACAAAGTCCTTCCTTGAATTGTATGTCAAGATTACGTTCTATTTTGCTATTTTGTAATGTCAAAAGATGATTTCATTGAAGACGAAATGAAAGATTACGTTGTATGCACCTTTAACCTTATGTACATTATAATCATATCAATGTATGTTACCAAAAAAACGTTACAGTATATATCAAACTTTTGTCTTTTAAAATACGATGGTAAACGACAGATTAAAAAAAAAGAATATTTTATTTTCACTTATATATATAAATATATTTGTAGACAAATATAAATGAATTTACAGACAATGTAATATACATTTAAGAGAAAAGGAATAAAATTATTTTACTGTAAAATAAAAATTTATTGTTCGGTATATTGGTATAATTCTTACTGATTTACTTGTTTTCGCAACACTATTTAATATGTTCGCGAGAAGCTGATATTTACAGCGTTTAATAATCTTTTTAAAGTTGTTAACGTCCGATTATCGTACGAACAATTATAGCATGCGCGTTTATAACGCTTGAAAACAATTAATCGTGAACACCGGCATTGGCATTGGCAATCGCAATCGCATTGGCCGAATCGCATCTTTAATCGATCGTACTAACGAGGAATTGTTACGTACTTTTATTGTTTCCATTAAGTTGAAAATAATCCGCCGGATAATAAACATAACTGTTAAGCGCGCGGTATTCACAGAGCGCCTTATTCATTTTCTATCAGCCTATAATTTCCATCTCATGTCGGAAATGCGTTTATGATTTATAATCATGAGTAATTACATTCGCGCTTTTCTCTTCTTTAATCCCTCGATTTATTGAAAGTTTATTAATTGACATAGCACTTTTTACATACTTGACACACCTTTTATCATCTTCCATCAGTTATCTATTAATCAACAATTACATGCATTTATTATAATTAGAAAGTCAAATACTGTCACTTTTAACAAATATTTATTTCTATTTCGAAACAATTTAATTATTGTTAATATTCCTACCTTAAGAGATATATAGATATATAGATAGATGATAGTTTTGTAGCGTTACACAAATATTTTATAGACTGTAAATGTGCATATGCGATATGACGATTACGTTCCATTATTCCTATGCGACCGTTCCTGGACATTGGTACGTCTGTGGCGATACACATTTTTCCGATAACGGATTAAATATCAACGTATTCGGGCACGTGAGGTTACCCATTATCGTGTAACTGATACCGTCCCAGTAGCACAGGTAATATTTCTTACATTCCACGTCCGGTATCGGGAATCTGCCGTATCTAAGGCAGAGTGGTGCCGACGTGGTCGATGGTGCCATTGTCGTCGTTTGCTGACACGTAGCCGTGCTCTCAGATACGCATTTACCCTGAAGATAATCGAATATGGCAGAACTGGCGCACGACAATATCACCGGATTGAGTTCCTCGCCGTCGTCCACACAAATATAGTAATTCTTGCATGTCCCGTCGTAGATCTCAAAAGCACCTATCTCCGTGCAGATAGGTTGCGCCGTGGTCTGACCACTGACGAGTTTGAAGGAAGGGTAAAGGCACAAAAGAACGACGATCGAGAAGCGATCCATTGTCGCGTGCGAACAAAAGATTCGACGCGAGTGTCGGATTCATTTATAGCAAAGAGATTTTATGGTTTAATTGTGTTAATCGTACTCTTATCAAAGACAATTAAGATGTAAAACAAGATAAAGTAAGGACATTTATCTTCGGCCTTGCCACGAATTTGCGCATTTTCTGTCTCGAATTTCTGATCTCATTAATTAGTTTTTCTTAATTTTTTTCGACGTATCCTTTTGTGCGAATTTAACTTTTTTTTCAACATCTTATTATTTCTCAATTCTTATTTTCATTCTTATTATTTTTCAAATTACTGATTCAAGGAATTAATAATTTATCGACTCTATTATGTTACGTAATTATCGAAAATCAATGCGACCGGATTAAAATATAACCGCGGTGTGTTTCGTTTCGACGTTGTTTGAAGTCAGGACGGCACCTGTGCATCCCCGACGATTCTTTTCAGGTGAAATGTCGGACGCGATTCAGAATGCGCGCTTTTTAAACGCGGCGGCCTTACAACGAGGAAATCGAGGGTGAAGTCTGCGGAATACAAAATCGCCAGAAAGCGACGAGAAAGTTGCAACTGGATTTAATGTCCGCACGTAATATTCTGCCTGTTCGTGCGTGCTGGCGTTATGCATCAATTATGCATGCACATCTTGTATCTATACTGAAACAAATTTTATTTTGCACATGTCTTGCTCATATTGAACACTTATTTTCTATCTCGCCATTAAAATTAAAGATTTATTTTCTACCTTGGTAAAATTATATCATTTGTATATATATTTTTATACATTAAATAGATTTTAATAAATTTTAATGTACAATCGTTATTAATAATTTAATAAATATCGTTAATAATAATTTAACACATAAATGAAAATAAATGATTGAGATTATTGTTAATAATTTAATTTACAGTATATAAGGTAGATATTAAAAAAAAAATAAATTGTGTACAATACAAAATATTACCTGAAACGACGACAATACATTTTTCCGAACAAAGAAGCGTTAAACTTGCATTAAGGACATTCCAGTCAGAGACCCTTGCGTTCAGGTAACTTTTGCCGATGTCCATTAGCAAGAGTGACCGAGGGCAAGAGATTTTCTTGAGTAGATAGGAAAAACACTCTAATCCACACATTCAGCTGCAGGCTCAGAGAGAGAAAGAGAGAGAGAGAGAGAGAGAGAGAGAGAGAGAGAGAGATTGGCTGAATCTACACGGAGGAATCCTTGTTCTGGAGCGAGGGAAAGGTGCTACGGAAGGGAGAGAGAGAGGTGTCAGGAAAGAAGGAGAGAAGCGCAAATGTATATAAGTGACTTGGGCTGAAGACGCTCCAATGGACTCTCTCTTTGACCCTGGTCAAGTGCGCATCTTTCCTCCCATCTTTTTCTTTTCTTCCCATCCCCCTTCCCATGCGTGGTCGTGCGGTCTCGATCCTGCGTCCTTCCACTTCAACCTTCACCTTCACGCGGCGAGGAAGAGAATAGTGTTCTCGCGCGCCCGTTCGATCGCATTACGCGCTGTGATGACGGTACAAGGTTGAAAGCTAGCGGGAATTCAATTTGCTTCAGAAGAAGATTCAGGACGAGTGTGATTTTGGTTTCGCGTGCACATGTGACATGTTCCTGGTGGAGATATTGTAGGAGAGATGAATGCTCGAAGAGTGAGTAACACTAATAATGAAAGATCATTAATTATTGGAACAAAGTCACCGAGCAATTGTGGAACTGTTATTGCCGTGGAAGAGATTTCAGAGATTTTCGAATGGAATTTGATTGTATGTTGATGTTGTATGAAGGTGTCAAATTGTATTATAACTAGCTAGCAAAAAAAATTGTTACCGAATTATTATCAAATTATATATCTGTATGAAAAGTGTTTAATAGCAAAGGCAGCAATTTTTTTTACATTTATGTATTATTTATAAATCAATTATATAAAAAAAAATTATAGAAACTTTTTGATAATTTGTGTAATGTTTGTGCAATATAACTATTTTTGAAATATAATTTTATTACACTAATAAAATATATTTTATTACATTAAAATATCAACGAGAATATTTGTTATCAAAAGGCAAGCATTCTTCATTATCTTCATGTTGTGATGGATGCCGGCTGAAAAAAAATGCAAATTGTTACCCTTGCGTTTGATCGTTCTAGCGAATTTAATGATGGATTATTTTAACGCGCTATAATTCTCTCTACTGGCGGTATCGATAACGAAGCAAATTGTATGAGCCGATTATGATGTACCGAGAAACGTGAGAGCCTTGACTACATGGAAAATATATACACCGCTTTCGAGTCTAATCTACATTACATAGATGTAATAAACGCGCGAGAGCTCTTTACGTTAATATCAAACATTGTTTTGTCAATTAAGAGGCTTTGTAATATATGCACCGCTGTAGTCGTAGAAAAATAAGAAATAACCAGAGATAAAGCATTTTTTCAAATATGGTTGCACAAATTATTTTATCGTTAGAAAATAACGTCGTACATATGTATAAACATTCTTTGATCTTTTCTTATTATTTTATCAGCCGATTTTTGGCAATTTGTACTTTTATATCCTAAATATAATTTACAAAGTAAAAATAAAGAAAAAATTATATATAGAAAATAGAAAGGAATTTTTCCTATTGTTATTTGTCAAAATTAATAATCGAGTTTCAGTTCCAAAATTATGATTTCTTTGAACAAGTTGTTATGGTTCCATGCAAATTGACTCACAGTCACGTTCTTTAATTAGCCAGGAGAGCGCCGTCGTCGAAGCAGTATGTTAATGTACTACCCGCGTTGTATCTCGAGAGTCACGGTTGATTTATGCACATCGTGAATCGACGATAGCGCGCGTCAGTACGACGAATAAGTGACGAAGACGTAAGCCGCTTTCGAGGCGAACGATCAGGCCGTTCGGCACATCGCCAGTCGAAGAGGGAAACTCTTTCGGCTGACCTAAATCTATCGCTTTCCGTTTGCACGTGTCTCACGTAGTCCCGATTTCCAAAAATACATACAGCAGCAGATGTCTTTTAATTAATGCTTTATTCATGTCACAATTACCAAGATCATTGTACCAAGTACCTTGAAATTATAAAAGAAAGACACTCGATATCAGCGTTACTTCTCGTGAAATTTCGTATCAGCTTTTATAAACGTAAAGGTGCTAATAATTTTTTAGCTGTAATCTTTTTACTGAAGTGCGGAACGCAAAAAATAAATAATAAAATATTTATTTCTACATAAAATAGATATTATTTTAATTTGCTTAATTAAGAGACATGAGAGCAAAGTTAAAATTTAACGTATTGTTATATTTAACAAACTGTTAAATATAAAGTACCTCCGTCTTTTTCGAAGGTTTTATTAGTTAAGGGAAAATCTTAGTCTTTAATATTCATTTTCTAATAACTTTAGAATATTTCTCTCTTACGAATATTTTTAAAATAACTTTTTAGAATAATTCAAATAATTTCTTAGAATATTCCTTCTCTAATTTCAATTATTGTATAATATAATTCAAGATTCAAATCTGAATCTTAAATATTATTAATACTTCATAGCGTTGACATGTATTATCTACACCGTTATCTCAATTTCAGGTAATATCTGTTCAAATTTTATCAGCAAATATGAATAGTGCTGATAACGGTTAAACTACGAGAAATTGTCTTTTTAGAAGAGACAAAAAGAAAAGTCGCTTTCCATTTACACGCTTTATCAGTTCTGCTTTAGAAAAGTGTCAATACTAGATCTTAACGAGCGTGCGATATCCATACAAACATAAAGCTTTTCTACTCGAAGTGTGCGCGTGTCATATTATCTTCGATACTTTAGTATCTTGTTTCGACGGATATGCAAGGCTCTCATAGTTTGTCTATGAATATTTGAATCAAAATGTATCTGCATGTAATTTATATATTGCAACCACAGATTTCTATATATCATAGATTGCTAGTTCCGGGAAATAAAGTGAAGCCAAATAACTCTGGAGAGGGGGTAGTAGCCTTTACCCACTAATAGATTACATTCCAAAACGTCAAAATTTTAACCAATATTATTAAATGTACACAAACACTACTTCATAAAGCACTGTATGTGATTACTGAATAAATATAGCGTCTGGCTTTAACGCATAACTGTTAGCAAACTGTAGCATGTTAGCGATCTATTCTATAGAAATCTGTGGTTCAACATCCATTTTATAGATAATTTAAAGAATGAAAATTAGAGAAGTAAAAGTTAGAAATATTAATTGATATATTCATTTTGCATTGATAAAACAAAGGAAGAGCCTCCTTTTATTTGTTAAGAGTTTATGATGAATCAATAATGACGTAGCCAATGCAGATCGTGATACTCTTTCTTCGTAATATTTTCAAATCTGATTCTTCTACATTTCTTACTCTAGATGATGAACGGTCTTTTTAAATCGCGAAAGCTTGTTAAAGAAAAATTGACAACGCTACCTCTGTCATTTTCTAAACAAGACGACAATTTGCTCGAGATAAGTTTCTTCTGCGTTTCGAAATCGTGGGCTTCAATTAAGCGCAGTAAAACGTTGAGCATCGCGATTTCTCACTTTAAGAAGCCCATATGAGGGCGACAAAATACGGCTTTGCGCCGTATTTTTCTTTACGCACGTCGAACTGGAGCAGCCCGCGATGTAAATACGATAGTTAACTCTCTCTGTCTCGACGCTCCTGTAATTGTCTCCCGCGCCGCTGAAGCACCGTTAGGGCTCGTCTTTTCTCGAGAAGATCTCATCGCGATCTCTTCCGATTTTCACTCGACTATTCCCACGGGAATTTAGAATCTACCTTGTGGAAAGTGACAGGATAATACCATTATCTTTTCACAATTTCCGCGCAGCGTTACGTTTATGATATTTAATTCAAAATTTTTACGAAACCTGATATTTCTAAAACAAACAAAAAATACATTTCACGTACATTCGAGAGAAGATTGAAAAACTGTTTTTTAAAATCAAATGTCATAATTACGAAGTCTTATTTTGTTACCAAAGAGAGCAGCGGCCTTTACTTGAACATCGAAAGTTTTGCCTGTAAATATCGATCTCGTTGATGTTCGGTCTCGATTTCACGGAGATATCTCGCAGAATTTCTCGTACGCGATGATCGTTTCATTTCGGGCGACGTTATCCCGTAATGAGAGCGCAGCCTCATTATCGGCAGCGGTTCGTCTCGATTAGCGCTGACATTTATTTTCCGACATACGCGCGCGCGCACACACACGCACGCGTATGTGTCGGGATTACACGTGCACGACCCCGCGCGTTACATCTCTCGTCTCTTCTCTCGCTGTACGTCCGCGGACTCGTCGTAATACCCACAGCCCACTTACCTACATTACTCGTTTTATGTGTGCGCGGGCACTACATCTTCACATCTTCGGCAACGAGTTTGTATATACGCGGCACGGCCGCAGTGGCGTAATCAATTTTAATAATCGGACGTTTTAATCATTAATTTGTGCGGCAGCGTGGGACGTTCTTAATGAGAAAACCGCACGAGTGACTTCCGCGCGGCTGTACCGACCACCGCTTTCGGCCGAACGATTATTAGAGTTTGCGGTCTCCGCCCCGTGTTATTAGGTGCAAACACATCGTTGTTACGTGTTGGTAATTTGTACAGCTACATGAGAACACTTGTTCATCGAATCAAACGGTTATTATTTCCATCAGGGATAAAGTGTGTCTCTCTGCAAATTAAAATATGTACTTATAAAATGGAGATGTATATCAGGATACACATTTATGCATTAAATAATTATGTCGTAGCTTTGTATATTTTTGCATTTTTATTTATTTATAAAATTTATTTATTATAAATTTTATCGATTCTGCTCACGCCGAACGATTTGATATTTCGAGAGCAAACTTACAATTCGCCGATTTTCAATATCGTAGTTACGCTGATGCATTCGTGCAATGCATTCGCGTCCTCTCACCTTGCACTTCTGGGTCGAGACCCCGCTGAATTGTGGCCGAGGTCGGTATATTTGCCGCGGTATATTTGCCGTGCGGCCAAATAGAACCATAATCTCCCGTCCGAACGTGACGGCTGAAACGTTTAAACGTTCGAGGGAAGAGAATCGATATACGTCAGTATATATACTCGACACGATCGTAAACGATCGACCTGTGTGCGCCAAATCGCGATGCTCTCCAGATGTTCCGGACGATCTCTAGCCGAGAAATCGGACCTATTCGCTTCTTAGCAGATTTCGACCTGTTCTTCTATCCTTAATTCCATCCTTGACTTAAGAGCGCGCGGAGTCACTATTATTCTCGATCCATGCTTGATTAATACCTGCTGGGTATTCGTAGCCTACTGACTTCTCATTAACGTCCGTCTTAGGAAATAGCGTCGTGCTACATCGGTTCGGCAGATGAAGATATAACAACATCGAATGAACACACGCAGGAACAAGTGGGTTCATTTGCGCGCGTTGAATTTAATCATTTAATTATTTAATGAAATAAATAAATTATATACATATAATTAATAATAATAATAATAATAATAAACCGCAAAAGATTTCACAATTTCACACACACACGCATATATATATATATATAAATGTGAAATCTTTTGCGGTTGGAATCCACCGTGTCCAGTAAATTTCATCGAAGTCCGGATGCTCGATACGTAAATGTTAAATATGGAAAAGGAAAATTTTCTAACTACTGCGTGAAGTATCTCCGTGGGATAAGCGTGATAATTTCGATTCGCGCGTTATAGTCAGTCATCAGGCGAGAAACTACTTTGGCGTCGAACACCTGCGCGCCGTAAACGAAACCACATACGCGACGCGTCGCGTCGCGAATTGCGCGTGTTGCGCGCGGAGTACTAAGTAAAGTGCGACCTGGTCGGAAGCAATTTGCATAACGTGCACCCATGCGCGCGTAAAATCGCCGTAACGCGTTATTAGAGGCGCGTAGCGTTTCTCGCGCGTAGCGTGCGCGCGCGAGCGCGCCGTCTCTTTTCTTCCGTTTCTTCACTTTCCTACGCGGCTTCCGGTTCGCGGGACAAACACGGTCACCCGCCGACTTACTCTCGTTCTCTCTCACGTGAACGGCGACGCGGCAACGCGCGCACGTACGCGAAGAACTGGCACGTGGAGAGCTCTTTCTCCCTCGCATTCAATCGACGTGGGAGAATCTCAACGTTGCCGCGGGTGCTGCGAATCGCGACAATTCCCGGCCTTTCTTCGACATTTTCTTCGTTTTCCTCGCGGCCTTCCGTGGTAAAGGCTTCCTAGCATCGAAAAGTTTTTTGCCTTCGAGAGAAAAACTCTCCGCAGATTTTAGCTAGAGAAAATATTTGTTAATAAAAAAAAATTAAATTAAAAAATTGCAGCAAGTATTGCATGTATTACAATCTTTAACGTGTTATTAATGTTTTTTGTTTTACTGTAATAATTGTAATTTTATTGTCAGACAAATTTCAATGTCTTAGTCATGAGAAATGTTTGTAGTGACTCAAATATTTTATCATAAAAATTATAACAACATAGAATAAATGCGTCACAATAAATTGAGAAATTAAATGTCAACGAAATTGATTAAGATCATTAAGATATGCATATAGAAATGACATAAAAAAATATATAAATATATATAAATGATATAAAATATATAAAAGGTTGAAATTTTTGTCTCTAAAAGAATATAATCACATGAGGTAATAATTTTATATAAGTAATTGACTGAGTGAGTGAATAGAAGTAATTTTGGACTGGAATTGCATCCGTGATCCTTTCTCGTGGCACATTCTTGACCTTATACTAACACTGCATTCGTACACCTTATGACCTTTTACCGTCGGTAATGATGATGGAATCAGAATCTCTTGATGATTGCGGAGTTCTATGTCGGTTAAATAGGTCGAAGATCCTCGGAACCTCGAACGACAATTACGCGACTGCTTTTCACTCGGTTTGAAAGCCAATTTCGGAATTAGGAATATGCAAAGAGCGAAATCTAATAACGTTTAACAGTTCGTTAAACGAATGTGAAACCTGAGGATTACTAACATGACGACAGCGTATGATTTGCGGCAGTTTAAACGCAGTGGCAAACCAATTGTTAGCCGCTTCGCGAGTGAAGAATTTTTTGCGGTGCGGCAATATTGTTCGTTTCCTTGCACATGCGTAAATTGCAAGCGGCGCAATTTAAAGCGGGGTAATCAGCTGAATTTAGGACTAAGGAGAGGAAAACCGAGTCCAACGAGGACTCCATTCTGGAATAACAAGGGAGAAGGCGTCTAGTTTCACGCACGGCATACATAATCCTCGGCGGCGTAGAATGATTCTCATGGTGCGACCCAGTTCGCTTCTCACCGCACGTTATTCTCCGTCACGTCATTGACTGTTGCGGAAAGTGTACATAATAATGTAATGCGCACGAGATTTCGTTTGGACAAATGATACCTGGTATATTGAGAAAGAGAAAAATAATTGTTAGTCCATGCATCCAATTACTTTAATGAATATTTGCTTTTCATTCTTACTTATGACTGCGTAGTGAAAATTCGGGTTACTGACGAATATTTTGTTAAATCATTTTAAAGCGAAGGTGTTTTTTTTATTTCCAATGTCATTGTTTCTTAATTATAATAAAATAATTTACAGATTTCGAAATAGTAACATTAGCATCTTCTTGCTAGCAAAATGGTTTTGTTTTGTTTCAGATCTTGCCATTCTTACTGCTGGTGATCTGCATAATCAACGGGATTTTCTCTGACCAAAATGATTGGAGTAGACCAAATAATATTCGACACATTCGTAAACTCAGCGAATACCTCGTTCCACCGCCACCGTCGAGGTTTCATCCGGACAGAATCCCAAGATTGGCGAAATTTCCACCGACAACTCCAAAGCCAGAGTACTTCAAGTGGCTGATGAGGTGGTTGAATCCCTTCAGCCCCGAATCCGTTCATTCTTCGCAACCACCGCCGCCGCCGCCGCTACGGCCACCACGTCAATCTGGGGCCCCGTATCCGCAGTATATTCAACCCCCTCCTCTGCCACCCGTTACCTACAACGGTCCTCCCCCTGTGGATTATGAGAAACCACCCCTTCCTTTGCCCTCTGCCAACGATCATTCGGGTTATCCTGCTCCGATTAAAGCCAGGAGCTGCAATTCTTGCAACAAAGTCCCCTGGATGCCGATACAGCACGATGAACTTGCACATCCGGGAGACGCTTCGTACGGACCGCCGCCACTTGAATCGCCGGGTGGCGAGCACCGGCTACCTAAAACTCACGAAATACCTCCCGATCCTTATCATGCTGCCTCGCAAGAAATCAGAGTTCCGGACTTTTCTTTCGCGCAGCCTGGTGGACAGGACGGCTCCTTTATTCCTCCGATACCGTATCCGCAACTGTTTCTCGGAACAGTACCGCCACTCCACGAAGCACAAGACTTTAATGCCCCTGTAATCAATCCTCAAGTCCCTCCCGATGGAAATTCGGGATATAACCTACCGCCACCGCCAGTGTTTCCTGAGAACGGTGCACCTATAGATAATGGCTCTTATATGAATGTACCGGGGCCTACTTTCAACAATGGGCATAATGGACCACCTATGTATCCAGATCCTTCGAATCTGGGTGTAGGAGCTGTTCCGCCTGTGTATTCAGGTCCTCCGGATCAGGGTGTAGGAGCTGTTCCTCCTATGTATTCAGGTCCTCCTTATCAGGGTGTAGGAGCTGTTCCTCCTGTGTATTCAGGTCCTCCGAATTTTAATGTTCCTCAAGAATTAGGCTATACCAATCCGGGCGGAGACATGACGGGAACGAATGGATCGCCCGGTGGTCAAATTAACCAAAATCCTCCCAGCTACGGAACTTCCGATTTCGCTCAAGTACCAAACAATTACAATCCTGTCCCTCAGGACAACTACCCGTCCTCCAGCGCGAACGTCGCCGAGGGCTCTTACGCACCTTTGCACACTTTAGACGGATCTTCCGGGACGAATGGAGATTCAATACATTTTGAGCAGTCACCGTCGCTAGATTTCACGCACCGAGATGAAAGTTGGACGCACTCGTCCTCGATACCGTCGACCTCTAACGTATTCACGGGCTTTCAGAGCCCCGAGATTGCCGGGACGACCGTGGCACCTGGCAATGAGATTTTCGGAATGCATCAAGGCGTCGCTCCAGCGGAATCTCATCCCCCTACTAATTATTTCAATACATTTGATAACGTGGCAAAGGAAACGAATATCCATAATAACGCAAATCGAGGTATAAAAAATATTCGAGAACAAGAAATGTTCCGCCATCTGACAAGACAGATATTTTATAATTAAATGCTTTTTTTTTTCAATTTCAATAGGTATAGATGGAGAATCAAATAACAACGGAGATATTACGCAGCCTTACGATAACGTAACGGAAGAAACGTTTAGTGACGTTAATGTTAATTACCCGGATCAGACGTCCGAGCAGCAAAATGCGAACAGGAAACAACAGGTGATGCAATTGTGTTTCTTGAGTAGGAAAATACATCCTAAGAGAAAAACTACCGGAAGTAATAAGTTATCATGATAACTGTATAATATTTCTATAATCGAAATTTTTAGGTACAGGTTATCATTCCTTTTACGGTACACTACACACCACTTCCATTCCATCCGTCTCAAGGGTCTACAATGGGAGTAGTAAGTTGTAAGCTGTAAAAAAGTTGATCAATCACAGTCGAATATAATATAAAAAAAATTATCGACTATGATTGGTCAATTTCTTGTGGCTTACGACTTACTACTCTCATTGTAGATGGACCTTCAGAGAAACACTACTGCAGGTGAATTCAATCATGCCGACAATTACGTCGGCGAAGAATCAATAAACAGATTTAAAGTGATTAGCCCTCCGAACTCGTCGCACATTCTCCAACCTTGGCCGCCTACTTTAGCGACATTCGAAGATACTATGAAGAAATTAGTTGATACTAAAACGAACAACTCCATAGACGTACATAAATTGCAAAAGAATATTGATAACTGGACGATACAGGTATACCATTTTTTTTAAATATATATGTGTATTTATAAATGAATTAGATATAAAATAATGGATAATTTTTGATAAAACGATAGATTTGATTATCAATGTCGAAAATTTCAATGCTAATTTTAACATATAATAGATATTATAATAAATATTATAATAAATATTATAATAAATATTATAATAAAGATGATAAGTAGTAATAATTACATTTGTTTAATTTAGGAATATTCAAAGGGCACAACCGTTAGTACAATATCGCCAAATTCGAGTAAGCCGTATCTTTTCCCTTCAAAGAAGATCCCTAATGAATTCTTTATGACTACTAAACCCGTTAATTATGCAACTGATTCTCACACTGATAATGTTAAGACCTTTACTTTGAGCGGATTCAGTTTTAACGATCACGAATATAAAGGGTCGGCTAGCAACCATATGGTATGTTGGCCAGAAAAAATAATTAATAAAAGTTTCAAAGACATATTAGTAACAAAAAATAATGTCTCATCTCTTTTTTTGTATTTTTTTCGTTTAAGGAAAACTTAACCATAAGCCCTATCAATGCTTCCACCGCATCTGATGAGAACATGTGGCGAGACTATCCCGTGGGAATTTCTGCGGATAGAGAACGCGTCTATATAGTGACGCCTCAGCCAAGTGTAACTCCTTCTGGACCGAGTTCCGAGTACAGACAAGAGAAAGTGTTGAAGGAGGCAGAAAGGAACAGGCAGGAATCGAAGAAGACTGCGCAAACAGATGCGAAGAAAACGAAGAAGTCCGATACATTCGAATCAATCGAGAAAGCCTACCAAGTGCTGCCTCAGGCTGTGAACAATTTGGCTGTGGCTTCCACAGGTCCTGAGAGCGTTCCTTTGTGGGGCATCATGGAGCACAGCGACTTTGCGTCGTCTGTCGATAGCGAATACGATAATAACGACACCGAACCTCCTGCGTTGTATTCTAGACTCCCGAAGGCATGTATTACTATTGATTTAGCGTTTATAATTTTAATTAAACTTTAATTACAAGCATAACTTATGCTTCCAAAAGGTATTCTTTTTTTCTATTTTAATTGATTTATTAACTCGGAGCATAACTCTCTAATTTATTTATTTATAATTTGATTTATTGCAATAATCTCTAAAACTTTTTAAATAATGTTTAATATTTTTTGTCCATTATTAAATAATGTTGATATTTTTACAGAAGTCGAGTGCCAGACGATGACGCATCAAAAATGCTCAAGATGATTATTTGTGCATGTGCAGACGATTTTGATAGTGTGTTTCCGTGAACGATGTGAGCGATTGTGAACAGTTATATTATAATAGTAATCCTTGACCTCATTCCCGAACGAACTTTTTAATTTAATGATATTTAATATAAACGTATGAACTGATTCGATTCTACGTACGTGCGTAAGTGATTATCGTGGCCAGTGCACCGGATAAATGTATTTTATAGTCCGGACGTATGTATCACTATAAGTTTTACTGTAAGTCTTTTTTATACGTTTAATAAGTTTAAAAATATAAGATGGAAAACTACACAAGAAACTAAAGACAACGTGGTATATACATATTTGCATTATGTTGCCACATCGTAACTTGCAAAGCTTTCCATCATTTAAATTGCTGTTAATAAATATTTTAAATATAAAATCTGAATTTTTATATACATAAATAAGCTAATTTTAATTTATCTGAGAGAATTACGCAGTAATTTTTTGCAGTTCAGTCACGTTTAAATCACTTAAATTGAAATTAGTTATTTTGATATTTATATGTTTGTATTTGTATATGTGTTTTATATATAAAACATACACACATATATATTGCATTCTTTTTTACATTAAATTTTTAAATATGTTCTAAAGAAATTTCTTAGTTTGAAAAGATTTGCATTATACTTTTTTTAAGTTATATAAGATTGACATCCAGATTTAGCAAAAATTTTTTTGCTGTAAAAAATATGTTTTTTAACGGAAAGACGATTAATGGTTTTTTTTACAATATACGCGATTGATCAATCAGGTCAGACCGCGCTACATGAACTGGATTTTAAGCGAACACGTTGTCCGTTTCCTGGAGCACTTTCGTCAATTCTGTAAGCCAAATCTGAACTAGTTTAGAGTCAATCTTTTCACAACCTATCGTGCATGTTAACGTTTTCTAGGGTAAAAGCTTTCCTCGTTTTCAGTCATATTTTATTTTACGTTAAAAGAATTCTGGTGCGACATAAAATAAACAATGAGGAATAATGAATAATAGAAAACAGATGGGCAAATAATAAATGATGAATAATGGATAACTTATTATTTCGCACATATAAGTTTTATATTTCTCCAACAAATTAAGAAAATATTTATAGCTCTTGCGAATCGTGTCACACATATTTCTATGCGACGCAATACAACATTTTTTATAATTTAATATATTAAATCATACTCACATGGTGTGATAAATTATTTAAAGCGTTACATGTTATTATCTCGGTTTTAGAAAACTGCGGGCGTGGTTGCTTTGAAATCCCGTCGCGTTTAAGTATATGTTACTTGAGCTCGCCTCTTATGTATTTGCCAACCACGTTCGATCGTCACTTTCGCCGATTTCGTAGCGGAAAGCTGGACGTCCGCCAAGAAGTGTCACAGACTATTTGAGTATTGCTGCATCTAAATATACATTCGTACGTGATACGCTTATATGCATATTGCATAAATCAGTTTTTTCCAATTGTACGGTGAAACGAGACTTTGTGTTGAATTCCGCGCTCGTTCTTTCACTCACATCAGGCAAAGATGAAAAAGTAATTTAACAAATTTACACATATATATTTACAGATATATATATTTTATATTGTAAATTACTTATAATATAATATAATATAATAATTAAATTATTATATTAAAAATATATTTAACAAAAAAAATGTTCAACGTATCTCTAAGTTTTTCTAGGTCTACATTTAGGTCTTCCTCAATAGAAAAGAAACGAAATTACTTCCGTGCTTCGAGCCATTGCACAGGAAAATTAAGTGATATCGTGCGTATATTATAACCATTCGATGTCACGAAAAAAGGTGTTATACTTAATGAGCAAGAACTCGATGCGAGAAAAGATGAAACTAACAGCGTCGAATAAATTAACTTACTTGATGCAACAATATCTACAATTCATTGACCTTCGAACTTCCTTTTCAGGTCTCCTCAGGAGGATCACACGTTGCCTGTCGCAGCGAAACGTGAGAACACCCGCCGGAAGATAGTGGGAAAAGATGTACTATTGTCTACAAGGTGTACCGCCGTTGTTTGTTCTTAAAGGCTCCAGTCGTGTCTGGGGAGGACTAACGCTTTAATTAGATCCATTTCCATGGTAAATGGTATCAAACAAGGACACGACCTTAATTGCGACCGTGTTGGTCTGATGCGCCGCTTACAAGGAAATGTGGAAGAATTTTTAATTCCCTTTCATGATGCTCGTAAAATTGTCGCATATAATCATTCTCGTGTACGTACGAAGTATATTTAGACTGCATATTATTTTACCACCTTCGGAACTTTTGCGTACCGTTGAATTATTTGGAAAATGATTTATTTACAGAAACACAATTATTTTCAGCGTGGTATTAAGATGTTCCGGGTGATTTTTGTCGGGCGGATTTTCGTCGTACTAGCAACTCCGTTGTCCACATAAACAGCGTAATAGCGGTCACAAAGTTGAGCAAGATAATGCAGATCGTGTAATTTCCAGTATTATCTCGTATTATACCTGTAGAAAAGTCGACTCTTTATTATTTAGATTTTCTCAATTGACAAATTATATCAGAAGAACAGCGGCTGTATTTAATTGTTTTATATATAATATTATTGTTGTGCACGTACCGAGAATAGGACCAGCGCTCATAAGAATCATTCCGTTGGTCAGCATCTGAATCCCCGAGGCGTTGGGTAACTTTTGAATGGAAACGTAGCTGGGTACGACTAAGGCCATGTACACCGACCTAATTCCTTTCGCCGCTCCCAAACCGATTGCGACGGCCAGTATTGAAGCAAAGTTATGTGCAAATATCAGCGCTACGGCAAAAAATAGTTAGAGATCATCCTATCGCTATTAAAATTCTTGCTTTTCTTATAATTTCGTTCAAAGTCGGATAATGATGGATAATCGATATACGTTACAGGTTCTGCTAATTATCAGAAGAAACAGGCTGGACATGTACATCATCCTGGCTGACAGACGTAGCCACTCCCCCAGGTAAGGCGCCGCGCCTCTGCTAACGAGATCGACTATCGCGATGATGCTCATGATGTTGGCAATTTCTGCCGTTGTTAAGCCCATGTCAGCTAGAATAAACGGCGTCAACATGGAAAAGTTCACTTCCGCGAAAATCGCGATTGACATCCCCAACATGATATTCACGTAGATTGGGTCGCGTAGAAGATCGAAATCGTAGAGATCAGCCACTCGTCGCAGAAGGCGGCATACGGTCGAATTATTTTTGTTACTGCAAGATTGTTACATCACTTAATTGTTCATCGAAAAACGATGTTTTATATGTTTTGTTAATCTAACTGCTATTATATTATATCTGTATTATATTTTATATTTGTTACATTTTATTAATTTCTTATTATATAATTATAATCATATCGTGCATCTCTATGATGCAGATGATAATTTTATATACAAAATATTATTATATTTTATTTTATTTATCACTTACTACTACACCGTAAATATACTCTCATACTGACCAGTCGTCGTCATTTTCTTTGATTGTATTATCGATCTCTTTTTCCAATAGCGAATTCTTTTCCACAACGTTCTGATTTATTTCGCCATTATTTTTGCTTACACCGTTATCAATAAATGTCAGTTTTTTCGTTATTGAAATAGGCTCGTCAAAAATTTGTACACTACTACCGAGATGGATACTATCCACGCTTTTTGCTGAAAAAAAACATGTACGTTATTACCGTAGAATTTAACTAACAAATCTAAATTTTGACATCTGTCGCATTTGTACAAATTAGCTTTAATTGACATAATCCTTTTGGCATAATTACACGAATTCCACCATGGATATTTTGAACCCCTTCGACTGCCGTGTAAATTCATCTTTGAGGCTCCATTAATCTCGGTGTCGTAATTTGAGTCGTACAATACTGAAACGATATGAAATTTTATTCTTAACGTCGCTTTTGTTTAATTAATTTTAACTAATTTATTTATTATCAATTAATAAGATATTATTAAGTCAGCTCATACTCGTTCCGTCTGTAGAAATCTGTCGCGTTAAAGGCATATCGAATCCATAAATGCTCTTAACTTCGACATCGTGGTCGATGCTGGATATTGTCGTTTTCCGCTTCCTTTGATAATTGTTTAACGTCAGTATCGAAGACTGTAGATTTGTTTCGTCTTCCTCGCAATGATTCGGTGTATCTGGAAGCAATTACAAATTGCCGGCAAAGAGTAGGTATATCATGGACATACGTATTTTTGATTAGCAAATACCTTGTTTGTCATTAACGTTAGTTAAAACTTTAGGACTTTCTTTTGTGATTGTTTCTAAGCAGATAGGCACGTTTTTCATATGCCATTTAATCGGTTGCAACAACATTGCGCCTATCATCGAATGAAAACTGTAAGCGCCAAGTATCAAGACGGTCCCCTGTTTAATATTATATCTTTTGTATTACATACGTTTGTTCAATAAGATTTGTAATAATCTCTTTAGCAGCATTTCGCTAATAGTTTTAACTCTCGATAAGTCAATTGGGAATTATAAAAATATACATTTTTCACTTAACGTTTTATCGATGTTACAGATTGACAGTGCATAGAGAGAAGATCGCGTTAGTTAAATGTTTAGCTATGGGTCATATAACAAGCAATAGAAAATAAACAAACGTGCATCGTGCGACCTACATTGATAAGCTGTTGTACTTTACGATCGACAACATTCGTCGTAAATAAAGCCATATCGGACGAAATACCTTTTATCGAGATATTTAAATATGTATAAATACACAGGCAATATTTCTCTATTTGGCAGAGTTAACTGTGCACATTCCAATATCTTTACTTGATATAATCATCTTGTATTATACGTCGGGAATTAAAAAACTTTAAACTTTTCGAATAATTAGATTCTTTGATTGCTAAATTTTTTCTTCTTTTTTTTTATCAAAACGTGACTTTCACGATACCTGAACGCCGTAAAATGAAAGTAGGAAGGATGCTACTTGAGGCATAATAATTGGACCCAATCCCGTGATAGTTATTGCCATGCCTACTGCTCGTCCTCGTTTTGTGGTAAAATAAGAATTGGTCGCCAGAGAAAATCCAGACATTGACATACTCATGCCAATAGCTATGTAGACAAACTTGATAATTAATTTACAACGCAGATATATGCTTTTATTTAAAAAACTCACAAAGCTTGATGTCCAATGGAACAAATCATATTTAATAATGATCATTTTATGTTTAACTTATTTACATAATAATAAATATCTGTTTATAATTATAGTTAAAATAATTGTTCAAAATACTTTGGGGAAAAATATGTTAAACATATAATATTCTCTGCTAATAAATAATTGTTTACGTATGCAAAACATTATTAATATTATCCGACGAATGATTCTGTTTTACTCACAGGCTAGCACTCCGTAACAAATTATAAGAAGAGTAAAGGTATTGGCGAATGCCGTCAGTGTTACGCCGACTGCATATATAATACTTCCGGTCATCGCCACTTTTCTATAACCATAGATCTTCAACAGGGGCCCGTTGATTAAGCCGAGTATCATACCGAATGCCAAATTTACATTGATTATAACTGACGTATCCGTTGCAGATAGATTAAGCGCGGCGAAAGCATCTTTAAATATCAATCCGAATCCTTGTATAATCGGGATAGTAGATATCTATACAATTTTCGTACGGATTAATCTCGATCTTCGCACGCGGCAAAAATTTTAGTAATTTGACATATTTTTTAATCGTATTTTCGATAAGATGTATGATAACTTACTGCATTTAATGCTGAAGCTACGACAATCATCCATCCCCATCCCCCATTTGGCGGCACTTTCGTCGACATTTTATAGGTCAGTATAAAATCAAATTATGTAATAAAATGAAATATAATATTAATTTATGTTTAAAAAATAAATAATACGTGCAACACTAAAAATTCACTTCATCAAATAAATATCTGCGTGAAGTTTTGCTCTCATGTTTATTCACGTCCGCAGCTGTTGGATTATTGTGTTTTACTTAACAATTGCTTGCGAACAGCACACACTTTATTCAATAAAATGTTAAGCCTGCATCATCTCTTAGATTAATCATTCCATAATAGTATTGATTTTATGTAATAATTGTGACTTGCAGTTTTCCGATGATGTCAGCTGGCCGTCAATATCTTATCTTCATCGATTGATACCGCGATTATTTAAATACGTTGACAATTCCTGCATTCGTGAACGTCTTATCTGCAATTTTAAATCACAATTAATCGTATTTTACTTCTGATATAAATAAACTTTACGAAATTCTACTTACTATTATGTAATATCATTATTTTTATAAATTTTTAATTAAATTTTTGATATGTATTTTTATACATACATAATAATTATGAAAAAAAATTTATTCTATCTTTTCTCCTCTTTTTGTCTCTTTCTCTATCATATATTATAAAATATTACACAACATATACAAATAACTTTTACACAATTTATCTCTTTTTCTGTGAATTGATCGCCACAGATTTAATTGGTCTAATAAACTGATAATTATAATACACATAGGCAAATAACACAAAGTTTAGCATGTTACTCTAGTCCGATCATAGTATTGCGTTCTCGCAGAATGATAAAAGCTACACTGCCGTTGGACACTTTTGCGAAAGATAAGAAAGCGTCTAAGCTGACGATTAATCTAATCTGATCACTTCGGACGTTCAATATGGATATGATCAGAGCACGATGAGAGATGTTGTTGGACTAAAATTGAACAGAAAGCTTTGCAGAAATGTCATTGCCATAAGATGTAAACAATATTATAATACATACATGTATATACACATACATATATACATATACGTATATGAAATTTTATTATAGTATATTACATCTTTTTTATTATTGTAACTAAATTACAACAATAAATTACACAGAAAATTTCTCTCATTTTTACTGCATTTAAATACACACATAAAAATATACAACAAATGCAAATTTTTAACTTTAAATATACTTAGGTACAGTGATTAAGTTCTTATCGGATTGTTATAACAGCATTGTAAGACTCGTGCAAAGAGGAAGCGGGGAGAGGAAGGAAAATAACAGGAATCGATGTTATGAGATTATGTGATGATTTATATATCGGTGTGTGAATGTATGCGCGTGTGTGCGTATATATGTTTTAACGTTTATATCTCTTGCACAAATAAATTGTTACGTATATCAACTTGTGCGTTCTGATAAGCAGTTATTAATGTGTGTATTTGAAAATCGTGCAAGTTCTTATTTAGATTAGAACAATCTTAGTCTATTAAAGATAATCAAGTTTAACAATATGTTGCAATATATTGCAATATATTGTATACGCTTGCGCAATATAATAAAACGCTTGTACATGTCGCAATAAAAGTGTTCAGTATTTTAATAAAATTATTACTATTTTTTATAGAATTATTTGTAATATATTAATGAGTTTAATGTGAAAACTTAAATTAAGTACATTTATTGATAATTTTACAAAATTATTAATGATTGTGCAAAAAGTATTTTAAATTTTCTATATATTTATCAACATATGTATATCAATTAATAATGATATGCAATATTATCACAAAGAAATTTTATAGAATTATTATATTAAATTCTTATAAAAGTAGGTATATATATATCTATATATTATAAATGTATAACATATCAAAATACATCAATGCTTGTGCACTTATGAATTGGAAATGTTAAATCGTTCCTAAATTAATTATATTTTTTCGCGAGAATTTTCTTGCTTCTCTGACAAATTTTGTTGATTCTTATTTCTACCAAGAGTCCACAGTCCACTTATTAACCACAGGAATACACAGGACAGACTGAGACAGGATGTGAAATAAAGCGCACCCACGTAACTATCTGTTGAATCGTGGACCAAACCTAAAAGAAATATTTCCATTAAAATAGATAAGATGATAAAACAATAATGATAAAGTAAATAAGATAAAAAATAATAATATTGCCCCGTTAAACATTACAATTGAATTTAACATTAAAACGAAATAGGCTCCTTTCATTATACATTTAGAATTTCCCTTTACCGATAATTGGTCCCACGCTGATAGACATGATGCCGTTACAAACCATCAGAATACCGGATGCAGCCGGCAGCCTCTCCAATGGCACGTAATCGGGAATGATTAGAGCTTGGAATACAGCTTTGGTTCCCTTTGCCAGTCCGACGATCACGGCTACTCCGATCACGATGGCGTAGATATTACCCCACGTTGACAGAACTGTTAAGAAGCTAACATGAGAATTTATTTTGTACATACAGAAGTTTACATAAAACATCGGGAATGCGTAGATCAATAAGACACACGTGAATGAATCCACCCTATTAAAAAGAATTGACAGAAAACGATATGATCGTTTTAAATCGTAGTTATGAACAGTAAAAAATTATCATGAATAACCAATTCATTACGATAATGTTTTAATAATTTATTCATAAATTTCATCAAAAAGGTTTTAATAATAAGTTACTATAAAAATTCTATCGATATTTCAATGATATATATTTAAAAACGTTTTTATCAAATAATGATAGAAAACGATAGGAAACGATAACATTTCTTTCGGAATATAAAAAATAGAACGATAGATTACGATAGAATATGATAAAATTTTTGACAGATTCCATCGGTTTCAATTGTTTTCTATCAATATTTTTTAACAAAGCAGATAGATATATCATAACAATTAAATAATCAAATGAATATATCTTGCTAAAGTACATTGTAATATTTAGATATGTGTCAGAATATAAATAATTAATATAACATTACTGTGGTTTGTTAAACATTACAATCAATGATTTCATTACGATCAATGATTTGCCGATGGTATCGATTGCCGATATACGATATGCACTTAGCCAGCTAATCAACCCACCCCAAAGATCACCTCGTGAAGAGATTCCTCGTGTTCGTATACTTTATGTGGCGGTACGTACTAGTCCTTCCGACGGTCGATCCCAGCAGGGATAGCACATAAAGATTTCTGCAGGTCCAGCCAGTTTTTTGCGCCAACAACGGTACGCAAAGACGTCCTGAGATATCCGCGGCAGCTTGAACCGACATCACGGTAGCTATCGATGTTCTGTCGAGGCTCGCCAATTCGGCCAGGACGAAAGGTATCATTGCGTTGAAATTTGTCTCGGCCACGAACGAGACACCCACACCTGTTATTGAGACACATGTTACATACATCTCTCAAGATTTTAATTCTATTTTCAGGCAAAACCTGGAAATTTAGTTGTTCGTAATTTACCTAGTATTAACGCTATATAACGATTATCACGAAGAAGATTAAGATCCATGTTCGCAATAATCTTTCTAAGGAACGAAGTTTGTCTACTGTCTTCTGTTTTGCTATTCTCTGGACGATGGTACAGTTGTCTTTCCTCTTCGGCGTTTCCTTCATTTAACAACTGGCGTTGAACCGCGTTATTTTCTACATTCGGTTCAATATCAACAAGTGAATTTTCCATTTTCGATATATCGGTAGTTTTGTCTATCGGAACGCTCGGCTAAAAATGGAAGAAGAAAGAGATCCTTCCAAAATATGTTTTACATTTCGCATATTGTTGATGTGACAATGGGGTGACTGAAATATAAGATGAAAAATGGAGAAGATCGATATAAAATTGCTCCTTTTTTTTCACGTACCTTTAACTCACCTCTTTCTGCTCTTCAAACGATCTTAATAGCGATGCACCAACGAGGGAATGCATGGCGATTCCAGCAAGGATCAAGAGAGTGCCGGTCGTGGCGAAATTTTCGAGAAGTACAACTATCAAAAGGGGCATCAAGATTGGACCCAAACCGGTTAACGTAACTGAAAATCCCATGGCTACATTGCGTTTCTCGCGAAAATACGTGTTTATAGCTAACGATGTCGCTGGATAAATAATTCCTTGGCCGATACCTGTTAAACATTTTGTAATACTTTTATTTTCTTAAGATAATAATAATATAGATAATATATAAAAATTTAGATTTTTTAATTGTATAATAATCTTGGAAATTCACAAAAATACAATTACATTATTACTTGTTCCGCAGTAATTGAAATGATTGAAAATTGTAACGTTGAGCGCCACTGAGTGCCGAACAAAAAGTACATTGCAGCAACCAATGCTTTAAAGATTCCTTCACTTCGTGTGCGTGTACAACCATTGCTTCACTCTTTGTATGAGTCTACATTTCTCTTATTGTTAGAGTTCAGTGGTGCTCAGTACAAACGATTAAGCGGCTTGTCATATATTAGCGGCTCTTATTCAGGCCTTAGTATTCTATAGAATTATTGACTACTGAATTATTTACCAATGATAACGCAGTAAGTGATAATAAGAGTCGGAAGAGACACGGCGAAGGCAGCTGCGCAGATTCCAAGGACAACTGTCAGACCGCCGAAATATGCAACCTGACGAAAGGCGAATCTCTTCATCATCGGACCGCTTATTAGACCGAGGCTGCAACCTATTGTCCCATTAAGATGAAGAATTAGACTCGTTTGAGTCGCGGTGAGGCCGAGACTTTCGAAACGTTCCGCGAAGATAAGGCCAAAACATTGCTGTACCGGAAGCACGGCTAGCTGATAAAGGAAATTGCAATTATTCTCTTGAAAATAATGTTCGAACGTCGCAATATTCACATATTTTTAGAATATTGTTTATCAAAAGAATTTTCCGGATAAAAAAGTTACAATTTTTTAAGAAAATAAAAAGTAAGAATTTTACAAGAATTGTAATAAAATATTTAAATATAATTTTTATTTACACAGGACTTTTATCGCAGAAAATAGAACATTATCAAATTTATTGACATAAATACTACAAAAATAACTAATATATATCTTTAAAAAATGTTTTCATAAATTTTCAGTTCGATTTCTTTGTTAGAACAAGCTTCAAATTATTGAAAAAGAATTTTGAATAGAATTAAAATTGGAGATTAAAACTCACTATAACAATAAAATGGCTTCAATTAATCGCTTCATAATAAAAGAGACTCACATTAATAACAGTCACGCCGACGACAATCATCCATGCCCAGCCCCGATCTGTCACACCACGTGCCATTCTATCAATCGTATCAGTCATCGTTCTGCAAATATTTCATGAGATACACATGCCTAGAGAGTCCTTTTCAGTTGTATCCCGTATTCGTACCATCGGCAGACTGTAAACCTAATCGTCCAGAGAACGTACACAATTACAAATTTAGATTGGACAAGTGATAAGATACGCGCTACGGATAAGGCCCCTCTTATTTCAATTCAGCTCATTTCATGCATTATGTATTTACATATACTTTATACATGAATGTCATGTTTTTTTTAGAAGCAGCTGCAGGTTTTATAATACATTTACGTAGTTGCACATTTTATTGTAACCCCTATTAATATATCTTTTTCAATTAACTAGAAATAATAATATTTAATAACAAGAATAAGCTTGCAATTACACTAATTACAGTTATAGCGAAAAATAGAGTAACAACTTCGATAAGTTATTTAAATTATAAACTTTGCAATTTTTGCGAAAGTTTTTTATAACTTCTAACAGTTTTTGCAAGGTGACTCATTTGTAAAACTTTACTGATAAAACTTAACTTCTTGTATAATTCCTGATAGTTTTTGCAAGCTCACTCTATTTATAGAACTTTCTTATATCTTCTAGTAGGTTTCGCAAGAATATTTTACGTTTAAGTTGACAACAAAATTGACATTATTTGTTTACTTTTAAAGATCCACGATTCAAGATTGAAAACAAAGTGCAGGCGAAAATAAACTGCCGGCTTGATCGATCAGTTACTTGAAAACAGTATACGAAATAGTTATCTGAAATAACATGTTCAGCTTGTTGTTCTGTTTACTCCTCATTTAGCTTCTTTATCTGTACTAATGACTCAGTTGCTCTCTTCCTTCTTCTCGCGCGAATTGCTTACTTCGCAATCAAGCGAAGCTGTTTAACCGAGTCGTCAAGCCTTCGCGTTGGCAAGCAGTTATCGGAATACATAATTTAATTTTAAGTATGGTCGGAAAATTTTTCAACGTCGCAGCATAATATCACGACACGTTAACACTCACGCGCGTGGCAATTTTAAAAATTCATTTAAATATCAAACGGGATTTTTTAAGATGCTCCGATATGGACGTTCGGTACACATGAAGCCGAGGAAGTGCTCTGACACGAGCTGCGGACGATGCGAGACTGGCCGAAGAGGAGGAAGCGCGACGAAAACCGGCTCCGCTACTCTGTGCTCTTGTGAGATCGAGCGCAATCGTATAGAGTTCATACAGAGTTGTTTTTCGCTCGCGAGCGTCACTGCACGCGGCGCGTGCAGTGCAGAGTTCGGGATATTTAATTTGCAGTCACTTTTATGCGCTCAATGCAAATTAATTAACGCGGCTCTCATTATCTCGCGCATATAAGTGCAACGACACAAGTGATGACCTGTGCTATATCACATTTATGTTATATCAGTCGCGAATGTCGCAATTCTATCGCGCCTTAGCGGAGCACTTTATAATGTGATTTGAAATAAAAAAATGCAGTTTTCTTTTTTAGAAGAGAGCATAAACAGACATGTAAAAATAAATATTTATTATATATAAAGTATTTATATCAAATCTATTTAATTTGATAATCTTTCTTCGGACAACTTCTTTCAAGAAAACGATGATCAGATTTTTTATTTGTGTACATAATGATAACGGATTTGACAAGGAAATTTCACGAATAAACAGAAGAGAAATGAGTTTGTTGCACCTGTAAAAATACGTAGCATTGCATCTATGTAGATAAGATATCAGTGCATCGGAAAGATTATGAAGTCATTGAGAAAACGTACTTTGATCCAATTTAATCCACGGGGATTATTTTTTGCACAGGAAAATAATCATGTTATGACAGAGATTTTTACGCACAACTAATCGTCATTTTCCAACTTATAGTTTATTAATTATAAAAAATCATTATTAAAGAAATAATTAACAGAAGAATTAATAATTAAAAAAAATTATTTTAAAAAACAATGATTTATTTTATATTTAAGTGGTTTTCACGCCAATTAAATCGTAAAAATTTTATATAATTGATAAAAATATAGTAAATTATTTTATGAGAAACTGTTATTAAATTAAAAATATTACTGCTACGTGCTAGTTTCTGCTACGTGCTGTTGTAATTTCTTAACAATGGCAAGTTGTCTACAAAAGATACCATATAAAAATTCAATGCTCCATATGAAAAATGTGACCAATATCATGGCGGTCATCACGTGAATACACAGCTTGTAGCTACCGCTAACATCTCTAATGTATCCTTTTTTTAACAAAAAATAAATACAAAAGATTAATTATATACATTATTATTTTAATATAAATAAAATTATCATCTCGTATATTATTGTAAAAAAACGTACCGATTACAGGACTCATAGTGATTACGCATAATCCCTTAAACACCATAAATATTCCAAATGCACTCGGTAATTTCTTCAAAGTGCAACATTCGGATATGCAGAGATTTAAGTTTACCAATGTAGCGCCACGTAAAAATCCAACTATTACAAACATAGCAATCAATGGTGTTCTTTCCGATTGTTCCGCTAATACTGTGTAAAGAAAAAAAGAATATTAAATTTCTGTACTTATTCATAGCTTTCTGCAAATTTATATTCTAGCTGTATTAATTTCTCTATCTATCTATCTATGTTTGGTTTAATTTAAAAAATGCTATAATAATATAAAATAAAATAAATAAATGCGTATTGCAGAAAATTAAGCTTAATAATAGCGCTTTTAAACTGAAGGGGAGAATTACTGGAGCGCATCATTCCAACGAGGAGGCAGAAGATCCAAAAGATTATGCGCTTTTTCCAGCCGAATTTGTCGAATAGCGTCGGCAGCAGCAGTCTAGCGAGGATATCGGTAAACGCAGTCAGGGACAGACAAAAGGCCACCTCCGCTTTCGTCATTCCTGCCGATCGTCAAGTTCCTACGAGCAGTTTATGTAACTCACGAGCAGTGCCGTAGCGAGGATGTTTGCCGAGATCGGTGTCTTTCGATCCAGGTCCCTATAATATTGCTCTAAACAGATTTGGATGCGACGCAAATCATTTGCAATATTTCCATGTTTAGAACACACGGGAGCCCTTTCAACGAAGTAATAGACATCCTTTGCTACGGTACTGATTATATGTTTTAAATTATACAAATACTTAAACTTAAATTATATCAAACTCTCTCACCGATGCTCGAGAGAAAGAAAGGAGTCATTAGTTTGAAGTTTGACTCGGACACGTAAAAGAAACTGCAACCTAAAGTGACGTTTAAGTACGTGTAATTTTTTAAAAGATCCAAGTCAAAAGTCGTTTTTATCTTGTTCAGGAATGATTTCTTCTGGGGTGAGGTTAATTCATTGTCTACGTTTTGATCCTTGGTCCACGTTGATCCATTTGACATTCTTCGTTCTCCAGGATTAGGTTTCATTAATAAAGCATCGCTCTCTTGTTCTTCAGTCTTGATCTAAGAAGAAATATGTATATTTTATTAGATATTTTACTTTTTTTCAACAATTTTATTGTACGTAAATATGTATATTCTTTGGTTAATTCAATATAAAAATAATAGAAAAATTCGAGATATACGTAAAAATTTTGAACAATATGACAATTCAATATTTTAAAATAATTACTTCGACTAGCGGTGGCAACGGTCGTTCTTTAAGTGGACGTAACAAACATGATCCCACTACAGAATGCAATGCCCATCCCCCAGCGATAAGTGTTGTGCCGCGAAATCCGTATATGTCCAGCAGAAAGTGTACTAACTGTACAAATAAATAGCTGATTAGAAAAAATTTTTCTTTTTGCAAATATATTGCTTACCAATGGTACGAGCATCATTGCCAACGCGGTTCCCGCCATGGAAAAGCCGACTGCTTGGCCACGCTTTTTGTCGAAGAACGTATTCAGTGCGACGAAGGAGCAAGCCGTGGCAAGGCCAGTACCCAGACCTGTCGTAAATTCCAGTTATAAAATAAAATACTAATTATAAAAATTTGTATTTTTAGACGGCAAAATTATATCATTTGTAGATTTTATATGTACCTCCTAATACACTATAAGTACAAATAATATACATCATACTATTGGCTTGCGATGTAATTATTAAACCACAGCAGCTCAGTAAAGATCCAAAAAATGCGACTTGTCGGTAAGAATATCTTTTTAATAATGGACCGACTAAAAAACCTGTAAATTTATAGTTTTTTTGAAGAATAAATAATCTGCTCTTTTAAAATAACATAATTACAAATTTCTTTTGTATTTTTGTATATTGCGGAAATCACGTTTACCTGAAAAATTGACAATGGCATCTAAGGTGCCCATTATAATTGATGTCCCTGTGGAATCGATATTGAGATCCTCCAACAGATCTTTGAATAGCAGCCCGAATGATGGATCCAAAGATCTCAAAGAGAGCTACAATTTGCATTATTATTAGTGGGACAACAGATAAAATTTTCTTAATGTATATTGTATATAATAATTGTTAGAATTGAAAATGGATCATAATGATTTTCCCCGACATTCTAGTGTGTTAAAATGTCTCACATTTCTCAGCATTATTAAGAGTACGTACATACTCTGAAGGACATTTAGTAACAAACAGTGTAATAAAAGTAAAGAATTCTTGTGTAAAAATAATAGTTCTTGTAAACCTTGGAGAAAGTCCTTCAAAGTAAATTCTCTGCATCGCTTTTCATTATATATAACACTGTCGTTTTTCTAACAATAGATTTTTATGTATTCTTTTTCTTTACAGCATATTTTATTTAGGCGTTGAACGTAAATTAATAATTCAAGCTTTATATAATAGTAATATAATAACTCTCTGTTAACATACCGTAATTAGACTGCTTCCAAGACAAACGAACCAACCCCAGCCACCATCGGGAGCTCTTTCTTTAGTCTCATTTTTCTTGTTTTCTGCCATTATCCACGAGAACAGCTATGTGGTTTACTATAAATTATTACTGCTAAAACGTGCCGAGAGTTAGGTTGCCAACGGTTCTTCTTTGAATCATCGTCACGTGAGCGCTCTCTAATCAATACCAATATCACACTCGCTAAACGCCAATCAAATACGCTTACCACTACAGCGTGACTTTCTGCTTCTGACTAAACGGCAAATAGTATTGCTGTCTATTATATTTATTCCTCTCTGCTTGTTTCCACTCCTACTCCTGTGGAAAAATACATCGGTCAAGCGGGGGATTTAGTACGAATGATCGTTGCGCGCGCAGACCACCGAATCGTATATATATATATATATACTCCTAAAAATCTACATAGCAATAAACAATATTATATATAATATGCACGTTACGCAACGGCAAGGACAAATTATTTCGGCATTCGGCAATGGAAGGAGTCACATGACATGCAAAGCGTAGTCTGCAGTCAGGAATTTGGCAAATCTTGCTGAACGAAGAAAATATTGTGTCATATATATTGTGTTGTTTTATAACGGAATAGTGTACACGCGATTCGTCTAGTAAATTTTCTTTAAGTTCGATAAGATATTTTTAATTGCAAGTAACACGCACACTGTCATTTGTGCTCTTTCATTTTCTAATATTTTCTAGCGTAAAAAATAACACGTATATATGTGGAAAATTATTGTAATAATGTATATCATATGCGATAACTTAAAATAAATTTTATTAAATAAATAATACAACGTGCTATACGTTATTCGCATTATTTTACATTTTCACATTTTACATTTTACATTTTCACTATATATTATAATGTTGCAATTTTCCAATGTTTTTATAGAAATTAAATTATTACTCGTACATAGCATGTAAATAACAAGTACAATCAAACTTACCGTTAATCGTAAAATATTTGATTTTACTGTAAATTCCTTTGCACGATTTCTTGTCCCGATTCGTACGTCATTACTCACTCTTTACTTACTCAGCAGCACAGTTGTTTTTACGGCTCGCCTGAATAAGTAATTGGAGGCGGCTGATATAATTAGCGAATAATTGTTAGCGGCAGTGTCCAGAGTAATCACACGTTCGCAGCACTGACCGATCTTCGTTGGTTGGACGTTTTATCTGTGTCCACATTGCATATATATATAGATAGTATGAGGCGATAGGGATACATTGGGCTTGTATATAAAACGTCACTCACCTTTTATCAATAAAACTGCTTTTCAACTTTAATCATTGTAACAAAATTTTCACAATATTACTCGACGGAATAGGTATACAATACGATAATTGTTATGATAATTTTTACATTATAAACTTGTTTGATAATAAAACTAATAATGAATTAATATCTTTAACATCATTGGCCCTCTGCTATAATATGCCGCAATCTATACTATAAATAGGATAGATAAGTACGTTCACGATTACGTTATAACATTCGATAATATAGAACAAATTGCACCTTATGTTATGCAACTGTGAGATGTACGACGTAAACTGGGTGAACGTTGCTCAGGTGCAATTTACTTACAGAGATAGTTATTCTGTACATTAATGGTATTGCTTTCTTATTTTTAAATAAAACTGTCTTATATATAATCAAATTAAATATTATTTTATATTATTTTAAACTAAAAAAAAGGAAAATATAATTAATACTTTTATAAACTAGAAATAGTTTATAAAAGAAATAAAATCTAGAAATTGTATTGCAGTGTATTACATCACAATAAAATTTATTAAAAATACGCATTATATCCTCATATTATTTTATTCTTCTTAATATTTAAACAATTTAAACGAGGCCGCGGTCATAAGTAAATGTTCGACATTAATTCGGCGCGCAGTTTAAATGCTAACTAATTCATTAAAAAATTCATATATATAATTATTATTAGGCACAAGATCCAGCCAGATAGCGCGTAAATTAAATTTATTTATAATATTTTTCTTAATATTATTATTTAAATAATTATTCTAAGAATTTATTTAAACAGTTTTTCAATTTTTTTATTTTGTCAAGACTTTTCAATACAATTTTTATAATCTTTTTTTAAAATTATTACAAGAGAAGTATCCTTAATTATACTCTATTACTTATATACTGATGATATATTTTTTAAGAAATGGAAAGATCCAAGGATTTTATAATTTTATTTTATAATTACAAAACTTTTAATTTTTTGTTAATTTGTGTTTCATTTAAAGATTGTGTGTGTGCTATATTTAGAGTAAATTTATATTGTAATATTTATTAAGATATTTGCATTTATCGTCGGCTAATTAGATATAAAGAATGACATCCCCTACTATTGAATCCAATGATAGTTGACTGAACTGGAGCATTTGTGTGAGCATCAGAGAGTGCAAATGAGACATTCTGTTTGCGTTTGCATCTTCTCTCTCCGTGCAATTCCGTAATTACGGATTTTACAGTGCTAATATTTCACTCCGGCTTAAGAATAGGTGTTTAAAATGATGACACTTGGCATGTAGATAAGAGGAACCTCGAAATCGTTTCTGGCATGTCCCGCTTAGTCGGAAACTGTCTACCTTCGATTATCGTGGAAGTGTATCGGAATACGTTGACGTTTGCTTTAAATTTATCTGTCATTATTCCGCTAGGTAAATACTTATATCTTATTTTCAAACTTAGCTCAATTGTCAATGAAAATAGCAAAAATATAGTTTGATTTTATTAATCTAGTAAGTGTTGCGTATAAAAGATCTGCTGTCATAAACTAATTATATGTAAATGATATTGACAAGTACATTAATACAAATAAATTCTGTAAATATATTTCTGTTAAAAAAATTATTATTTAATAATATTTCACATAATGAATAAACAACGATTATTGTTTCATGTTATAAATTTTTACTTTCGTATTTATTTATATGATTAAAAGAAGATATATTGAATCCAATAAAATAAATGAATATTTTAAAAATAATTTGTACACATTTTCTTAAATATATATTTCTGTCAAATATTATAGCAGTATTAAATATAAAACATCATTTTCTTATTATTGCAAGATTTCTTGTGTTAAATAATAATCAATGTCAAACATTTAATTAGTATTGTCGCATTGATGATATTGAGATACACCATTTGTTAAATACTTTTCTATTTTGTGTAAAATACTCTCTTATTCTGTGAAAATCGTGACGCTCTTTAAAGTGCTCAAATAAATCAGGACGATTACCGCAATATGACGGTGACAGAAGTCAACGGCACGACGATAAATACGTCCACCATCAACAACGCTGCCGAAAATAAAGAGAAGAGTGCAATCGCAAAGGTGGAAGAATCGATAAACGAAGAGGATGAAATTACTTTAGAAGATTTGGCGCCAGACGGTGGCTGGGGATGGATGATTGCACTGGCAATGATATTAATTCTCGTTAGTATAATAATAATAATACATAGCTATAATAGTGTTTTAGCTATTAAACAGATATATGTATCACTCTTTAT